ACAGGGGGTGCGGGCAGCCGGGGCGGGGGGGGGCAGCGGGGGCGGGGGGAGGGGGCTGCCCTGGTCTAGAGTCTCCAGCGGGCAGGGCTCGGCCACACGCCCGGGAGGCGCACCCCAGGCTGGTCCCTGGGGACCCGGAGGCCCCTCTGCGGGCAGCCCCGCCCCCAGCCGCCCCGCCCCGCCCCGCCCCGGGGCTGCTCCAGCGCACACAGTCCCGGGTTCGCCGGTGCCCCGCCCCCCGGTGCTGGGCGGGGAGGGTGCGCCTGCGCAGAGCGCCCAGGGACCTGGGGCGGCCGGACCCCGGGCGCGAGGTGCGGGGCGCGGGGCGCGGGGGCCCGGGGAAGCGGAGGGGCGGGGCGGAACGGGGGCGGGGCGGGCGGGGGTGTAGGTGGGGGGGCCGGGGCGGGCGGGGGCCTGGCCTCGGGGCGGGTGGAGCGGAGGGAGGATGACGGGGGGGAGGGGAAAGGGGCGGAGGGAGATGACAGGGGGAGGGAGGATGACGGGGGGAGGGGAAAGGGGTGGAGGGAGGATGACGGGGGGAGGGGAAAGGGGCGGAGGGAGGATGACAGGGGGGAGGGGAAAGGGGCGGAGGGGGAAGGGGCGGAGGGAGGATGACAGGGGGAGGGGAAAGGGGCGGAGGGAGGATGACAGGGGGGAGGGGAAGGGGCGGAGGGAGGATGACAGGGGGAGGGGAAAGGGGCGAAGGGAGGATGACGGGGGGAGGGGAAAGGGGCGGAGGGAGGATGACAGGGGGGAGGGGACAGGAGCGGAGGGAGGATGACAGGGGGAGGGGAAAGGGGCGGAGGGAGGATGACGGGGGGAGGGGAAAGGGGCGGAGGGAGGATGACGGGGGGAGGGGAAAGGGGCGGAGGGAGGATGACGGGGGGAGGGGAAAGGGGCGGAGGGAGGATGACAGGGGGAGGGGAAAAGGGCGGAGGGAGGATGACAGGGGGAGGGGAAAGGGGCGGAGGGAGGATGACAGGGGGAGGGGAAAGGGGCGGAGGGAGGATGACGGGGGGAGGGGAAAGGGGCGGAGGGAGGATGACAGGGGGAGGGGAAAAGGGCGGAGGGAGGATGACGGGGGGAGGGGAAAGGGGCGGAGGGAGATGACAGGGGGAGGGGAAAGGGGCGGAGGGAGGATGACAGGGGGAGGGGAAAGGGGCGGAGGGAGGATGACGGGAGGAGGGAGGATGAGGGGGGGGAGGGGAAAGGGGCGGAGGGAGGATGACAGGCGGAGGGGAAAGGAAGGGAGCGCCCCCCCCCCCCACCCCGCCCCTCTGCCCGCCCGCCCCGCGCGGGCTCCGGGACGGAAGCGGGAGGAGAGAAGACGGTTAAAAGGCGGAGACACGCACGTCCTCCGGCCGGACACGCCGGCCTCGCCCCCCTCCCCGCGGGCTGGGGTCACTCCGAGGCCACCGGGGGCCGAGGCTCTGAACCTGCCTTCGAGGGCGTCTCTCTCATCCGGGGTTTCCCTTCCGGTCGCGGCTGTGACACTGCCTCAGCAGTTTGAGCAGAAAAGTGCGGATTCAAAGTCCGCAGCAGCCCCGGCCAGTGTGGCTCAGTGGATAGAGCATCGGCCTGCGGACTCAAGGGTCCCAGGTTCGATTCCGGTCAAGGGCATGTGCCTTGGTTGCGGGCACATCCCCAGTGTGGGGCGTGCAGGAGGCAGCTGATGGATGTTTTTCTCTCGTCGATGTTTCTAGCTCTCTATTCCTCTCCCTTCCTCTCTGTAAAAAAAATCAATAACATGTATTTTTTAAATAAAAATAAAATACAGTAAAAAAAATAAAATCCGCAGCAGTGTGTGCGATGGTCTGAGAAGAAGGCTCGCTGACTGAGGCCTCCCCTAAAGAGCAGTTTGTGGGGGAACACAGTTTGCGTGGAGAACAGCTCAGATCCTGATCCTGGTCCGTCTCACCCACCGCCATCCCGCCTGCGCGGGGGGTGTGTGTGTGTGGCGGCGGGGAGGGCCCCCGGACCTCCCCAGGCAACGCCCTCTGCCCTGGGAGGAGGCTCCCCTCCCCGTTTATGGGAGTCCGGCCTCACGGGCCTCCCTCTGTGCAGTGGGTTCTGGCTGCCAACACCGCCTGAGAGGCCCCCCGGCCGCCTCCGGAGGTCTGTGAGGCACATCCCCGCCCGGGCCCCCCGCCCTGGGAGCATCCACGTCCCCGGGGCACTGAGCACTGCTGGGGCACATGTGCCTGTGGCTAGGAATGGGCCTCTGGGAGGGCCTGGCGCTCCCTGCACTCTGGTCCTCCAGCCGTGCTGACCTCTCACGCACACGTGTGTGTGGAGCGTGGGTGTGATTACCCCGTGGCAGTGCGCGCCCCCAGCCCATTAAGGTTCTTTGCAAACACCGTTCTCCGCAGACACCCAGGCTGTTGGGAGCAAAATGCCTGGTGCTGGGTGGGGCAGGGTGGCCCCAGATGTGCCTGGAACATCCTGCTGGGCCAGCGATCATGGAAGGCCCACGGAATGATGGACACGTGACACGGGAATGCAGGAGGCCCTTAAAGGGACCCTCTGCAAAAACCTGGGACAATCTTAGCACCAGAATCAATGGGATTCATGGGTTAGATCCCAGCGAATGAAATAGAAAACGCTGAGGCCATCATGATATCAAGAGTGCATAATGGATGAATGGATGGGTGGATGGATGGGTAAGTGAATGATAGGGTGAGTGAATGGAAGGATGAAGGAATGAGAGAGTGAATGAATGGAAAAGTGAATTAGTGAGTAAATGTATGTATGTATGTATGGATGGATGGATAGGTGAGTGGATGAGTAAATGAATGAATGGGTGAATAGATGAATGAGGGAGGGAGTGGATGCATGAAGGAATGAATGAGTGAAGGAATCAATGAGGGGATGGATGGATGAATGAGTGAGTGAGTGGATGGATGAATGAATGAATGGCTCAGTGAATGGATGAATGGATGAGTGAATGAATGATAAATGAGGGCACTGCTTCCTTCAGTGCAGTGGTGTTGTTCAGAGAAGAGAATCAATGGATGAATGCAGATGAGAAATGGAACTTGCTCATAGGCTAGTCTCTCCCCAAACACTCTCAGCTTCATGCTGCTCCCGACATCTCCCACTTTTCCTTGGTTTTTAAGCTAGCACAATAACTTGACTATTGTTTTTAAACTTGAACATAACTATTAAAACAATAACAAAACATTGCTTCTCGGCCTTTTGGCTAAGATCAAGTGTAAAACAATAACAAAACAATGCTAAAGCAACACAGCAAAAAGAGAGAAATCAAACTACAGACATGTTTCACATTTTAAAAACTTGAATATCAAGAACAAAACTCTGGCTGTTAAAACGATAACAAAACAATACCAATGCAAAATAGCAATAAGAGCGAAATAAAACTACAGACATGTTAACATTTTTAGCTACAAAATGAAAGTTTCTTTTGCTGCTGCTGTATGTTTACATTCCTTGGACTTGGCAAGACTTTACAGAAGACGGGCAGCTCACCAAAGCTAGTCAGCCCCTTGGTCCCCTGCGTAGTCTGCGCTGTCTTCTTCCACATCGCCAGCACCGGGGCAACTCTCAGTCTTTTGAACGGAACCGAGGGACAAGGACCTTCTCCAGCCACCGGTGCCGTTTTTCCATCTCCTCAATGAGGAGACCCCACAGCTCTGCAGGTCGGCGAGCCTCTGTGAGATGGTCTCGACTGCTGCTGTCGGTGACGATGCTCTGGCTCCTCTCAAAGATGCTGTCGAGCCCTGGCTGGTTTGGCTCAGTGGATGGAGCGTCTGCCTGCAGACTGAAAGGTCCCAGGTTCGATTCCAGTCTAGAGCATGTACCTTGGTTGCAGGCACATATCCAGTAGAAGGTGTGCAGGATGCAGCTGATTGATGTTTCTCTCTCATTGATGTTTCTGGCTCTCTATCCCTCTCCCTTCCTCTCTGTTAAAAAAAAAAAAAAATATATATATATATATATATATATATATATATATATATATATATATATATATATATATAAAGATGCTGTCGATGTGAAGATATTGTCAATGCGAGGCTGGTGCTGTTGGATTTCCTTCTGGAGGGTCTGACTTTTCTTTATAGTCCTCAGATTTGGACAGTCTTAGTTTCCCATGTTTTACACCTAGCTGCTACTAAACTTCTCTCCTTACGTTTTGCTTTCTACACGTGCTTCACTGGAGCGTCCTTTCACCTTGCAGTTGCAGTGGCCCTGTACTCAGGCCCCACATTGGTGCCACATGTGCCCCACCAGCACAGACTAGGGTAAACCTGAGGAGGGGCAGTGAAGGATTGAAGAAAAGACAGAAAAGAGAATACAGCTGGGGCTCGGTGGATCTCCCGTGCCTGGAGGAGGACACAAAAGACCCAGCATGCAAGCCAACGCTCTATTTTATAGTCTGATTAAAGCCAGAGTGGAGCCCTAATCAGTTTGGCTCAGTGGATAGAGCATCGGCCTGCAGACTGAAGGCTCCCAGGTTCGATTCCGGTCAAGGGCATGGACCTTGGTTGTGTGCACATCCCCAGTAGGAAATGTGCAGGAGGCAGCTGATGGATATTTCTCTCTCATTGACATTACTAACTCTCTATCCCTCCCCCTTTCTCTCTGTAAAAAATATATATATATAAATGTAAAAAAAATATGTATAAATGTAAGAAATATATATAAATGCCGAAACCGGTTTGGCTCAGTGGATAGAGTATCTGCCTGCAGACTGAAGGGTCTCAGGTTCAATTCCGGTCAAGGGCATGTACCTTGGTTGCGGACATATCCTCAATAGGGGGTGTGCAAGAGGCAGCTGATCGATGTTTCTCTCTCATCGATGTTTCTAGCTCCCTATCCCTCTCTCTTTCTCTCTATAAAAAAAAATCAATAAAATATATTTTAAAAGAGAGAGAGAGAAATCAAAACTACAGACATGTTAACATTTAATATTATTAATATATTTAAAAAAAACAGGGAATGGGGAGGGCGGAGAGTGTGGTGGGAACCTGGTGGTGGGGGGAAGACATGAGGAACCTTTGTAACAATATGAACAATAAAGATTGATTTTTAAAAAAAACAACAACACAGGGAAGATTAACATGTATACAAATGTTCTTGCTGCACCTCCCGCAGCCCATGAGCTCTTATACTTGGGAAGGAATGAGGGAGGCTACAGGGTCAGGGAGAGCTCCGCCCTCCAGCTGGGATGTGTTTGAGGCCCTGACACAGGTCAGCCGAGGCGTGACCCTAGAGCCGCTCCCTACCGTTCCCAAGACTGTTAGTCATATGCTGCGCAGACAGGACACACCCAGGTCCCAGCCCCAGGAGGTGCCTGAGGGCCCGTCCTCCAGCTGAGCAGGGCCTGGGCAGCGCCCGGGGCGGCAGGAGGGCGGCAGGAGCGCCCTGGCTGGGTCCTCGCACCCAGGGTCAGGAGGGGGAGGCTCAGGCCCCTCAGGAGTCTGACGGGGAGACGCGGGTGGTCCCAAAGCCCCGGGCGCAGCTGGCAGTCTCTTCCTCAGCCCGGTGCGTCCCTGTATCCGGTCCCCGGGGCCTCGCGGAGATGGCTCAGGCGTCCGCACCGTGAAGCCAGGTGTCCGCCGGCGGGCCCCTCTGCGGGAAAATGGCCACGGTCTCCTCCACCGGCTCCGTGGTGACGTCTGGCTGGGCCTGGCCGGCCTGCAGGTCCCAACGCGGCTTCCTTTCTGCCCGCTCTCCTGTCCCCTGCACAGACCCTCAGCGTGAGGACCGGGCCGGCTCCCGCCTGGCCCGGGCGTCGGGGTCACGGGTCCCCAGGGGCTGGAGCGGGGCCTCCCTCCCCGGTTAGCACGGTGCACGGAGGACTCCGCCCGCGGGGACCTGGGGCCCACCCCGCCCCAGCCAGCAGCCTCACCGCCGGGGAGCCGGGCTGCAATCCCCGAGGAAAGGCGAATTCTCCTGCAAAACAGAGACGCTGTCAGGATGGGCCACCGGCCGGGACCACGGGCCTGCTGCTCACTGGGCACCGCTAGCGAGACCGACCGACCGCTCAGAGGCAGCAAGACCCATGGGGGGCGGCCCTCCGGGGCGGGCCTGTCCACCTCCCTGCTGCAGACCCCCCATCACCCTCATCATCATCACCACCTCAGCCCCCTCTCCATCCACAGGGAGGGCTGAGCCCCCAAGGGGAGCGGCTGCCCCGGGGCCGGGAGAAGGGACCCTGGGCCGGCCGGGCGCCTCCCGGGAGAGGACAGGGCAGGCCTTGCCCACAGGCCTGAGCCTCTCTGCTCAGCACCCGCCCCCCCCCCTCCCGGGTGGGCACGCAGAGCACCCCATGCAGGGACGGGCGGGGGGGGGGGCGGTGTCTGACGGGGCCTCCCTGTGCTCCTCTGTCCGCGGAGGGCAGGTGGGAGTTCGGGCCTGGTGCTGCTTGGGGGAGGGGGGGAGTCCAGACAGGAAGTCCCTCAGACAGGAAGTCCCGCCCCCGGGCCCGGTGGCCTCTCTTTTTGGGGGACAGAGCAGAGGTGCTGGGACGGAGGGCTGGGTCCTGAGCCGGAGGGACCAGGCTGCTGCTCACCACACAGCTTCCTGGTCCTGAGGTGCCTGAGTCCAAGGGCAATGGCGACGAGGAGGACAATGAGGGCGGAGGTGGTTCCGACCAGGGAGATGACGCGGACTCTGTGGGAGCACGTCACGTCGGAGCTGTTGGTCCCGGGCGTCTCCACGGTGTTCAGGAGGCCGCTGCACCTGGGAGGAGGCCGTGGCAGCGGGTGCGCACCCGGGGCCTGCGCCACCCGACCCCGAGCCAGCGTCCGGGCACAGCCTGGCACCCAGAGGGGAGGCCTACCCCCCAGGGGCCCTGGCAGCGCCTCCTGGGACCCGGGTCACCTACTTGGTCCAGGGCGTGCAGGCCGGCTGGGTGCCCCCCGCAGAGAAGGTGCCCGGAGGGCAGTCTTCACACCACGTGTCCTGCCCCTCGGAGCCTGAAACCAGAGTGTCCGCAGAGGCTCCCGGGGGGCGCCTGGCGGGGGGGGCGGGTCTGTGCCCGCGGGGGGGGGGGGTCTGCGCCCACAGGGGGGGCCGGGGGCCGGGGTCTACGCCCGCAAGGGGGCCAGGGTCTGCGCCCGCGGGGGGGGGTCTGCGCCCGCGGGGGGGCCGGGGTCTGCGCCCGCGGGGGGGGGTCTGCGCCCGCGGGGGGACCGGGGTCTGTGCCCGCCGAGGGGGGTCTGCGCCCGCGGGGGGGGGGTCTGCGCCCGCGGGGGGGGGGGGAGTCTGCGCCCGCGGGGGGGGGTCTGCGCCCGCGGGGGGCCGGGGTCTGAGCCCGCGGGGGGGGGGGGGGAGTCTGCGCCCGCGGGGGACCGGGGTCTGAGCCCGCGGGGGGGGGGGGGGGGAGTCTGCGCCCGCGGGGGACCGGGGTCTGAGCCCGCGGGGGGGGGGGGAGTCTGCGCCCGCGGGGGGACCGGGGTCTGTGCCCGCGGGGGGGGGGGGGTCTGTGCCCGCGGGGGCCGGGGTCTGCGCCCGCAGGGGGACCGGGGTCTGAGCCCGCGGGGCCGGGGTCTGCGCCCGCAGGGGGACCGGGGTCTGCGCCCGCGGGGGGGGGGGGGGAGTCTGCGCCCGCGGGGGACCGGGGTCTGAGCCCGCGGGGGGGGGGGGAGTCTGCGCCCGCGGGGGGACCGGGGTCTGTGCCCGCGGGGGGGGGGGGTCTGTGCCCGCGGGGGGCCGGGGTCTGCGCCCGCGGGGGGACCGGGGTCTGTGCCCGCGGGGGGGGGGGGGGGGGAGTCTGCGCCCGCGGGGGGCCGGGGTCTGCGCCCGCGGGGGGCCGGGGTCTGAGCCCGCGGGGGGGGGAGTCTGCGCCCGCGGGGGGCCGGGGTCTGTGCCCGCGGGGGGGGAGTCTGCGCCCGCGGGGGGCCGGGGTCTGAGCCCGCGGGGGGGGGAGTCTGCGCCCGCGGGGGGCCGGGGTCTGTGCCCACAGCGGGGACCGGGGGCCGGGGTCTGTGCCCGCTGGGGGGGGGGTCTGCGCCCGCGGGGGGCCGGGGTCTGTGCCCGCGGGGGGACCGGGGTCTGAGCCCGCGGGGGGCCGGGGTCTGTGCCCGCCAGGGGCGCTGGGCTCACCTGTCTCCCGCACGCTCTGGCCGGGGCGGCAGGCGCTGTGGGGCCTGCACTGGACACAGGCGTCCCCGTCCTCGCGCACACAGAAGTGGCCGCGCCCGCAGCCGCACACGGTGTTGGCCGTGGAGGAGCAGTTCCGCCGGGTCACCTGGCCCAGGCCTGCGGCCAGAGAAGCCGTCAGAGCAGCAGCCAGACGGCCAGGGCTGGGGCGGTCGCCCATCCCGGGGGAGCCACGCAGAGGGCTGGACGGCGCCCCCAGGCCTGGGGAGGGCGGGGGGGAGGGGGAGGGCCGGGGGAGGGCGGGGGGAGGGCGGGGGGAGGGCCTGGGGAGGGCGGGGGAGGGCCGGGGGAGGGCGGGGGGAGGGCGGGGGGAAGGCCTGGGGAGGGCGGGGGAGGGCCGGGGGAGGGCGGGGGGAGGGCCGGGGGAGGGCGGGGGGAGGGCCGGGGGAGGGCGGGGGGAGGGCGGGGGAGGGCCGGGGGAGGGCGGGGGGAGGGCCGGGGGAGGCGGGGGGAGGGCGGGGGAGGGCCGGGGCCAGCCCCCTCTGCTCCCCCTGGACGCTGCCAGCCCCCGCCCTGCTCAGCGTGACGTGTGCGGGAGGCGGACAGCAGAGGGTGCGGGAGGCGGACAGCAGAGGGTGCGGGAGGAGGACAGCAGGGGGTGCGGGAGGCGGACAGCAGGGGGTGCGGGAGGCGGACAGCCGGGGGTGGGGGGGCGGACAGCAGGGGGTGCGGGAGGCGACAGCAGGGGTGCGGGAGGCGGACAGCGGGAGGCGGACAGCAGGGGGTGCGGGAGGCGGACAGCAGGGTGTGCGGAGGCGGACAGCAGGGGTGCGGGAGGCGGCAGCAGGGTGTTCGGGAGGCGGACAGCAGGGGGTGCGGGAGGCGGACAGCAGGGTGTGCGGAGGCGGACAGCAAGGGGTGCGGGAGGCGGACGGCAGGGGGTGCGGGAGGCGGACAGCAGGAGTTGTGGGAGGCGGACGGCAGGGGTTGTGGGAGGCGGACGGCAGGGGGTGCGGGGATGGACGGCAGGGGGTGGGGAGGCGGACAGCAGGGGGTGCGGGGGCGGACAGCAGGGGGTGCGGGAGACGGACAGCAGGGGGTGCGGGAGGAGGACAGCAGGGGGTGCGGGAGGCGGACAGCAGAGGGTGCGGGAGGAGGACAGCAGGGGGTGCGGGAGGAGGACAGCAGGGGGTGCGGGAGTTGGACAGCAGGGGGTGCGGGGGCAGACAGCAGGGGGTGCGGAGGCGGACAGCAGGGGGTGCAGGGGCGGACAGCAGAGGGTGCGGGAGGCGGACAGCAGGGGGTGCAGGGGCGGACAGCAGGGGGTGCGGGAGGTGGACAGCAGGGGGTGCGGGAGGCGGACAGCCGGGGGTGGGGGGGCGGACAGCAGGGGGTGCGGGAGGCGGACAGCAGGGGGTGCGGGAGGCGGACAGCAGGGGGTGCGGAGGCGGACGGCAGGGGGTGCGGGAGGCGGACGGCAGGGGGTGCGGAGGCGGACAGCAGGGGGTGCGGGGGCGGACAGCAGGGGGTGCGGGGGGCGGACAGCAGGGGGTGCAGGGGCGGACAGCAGAGGGTGCGGGAGGCGGACAGCAGAGGGTGCGGGAGGCGGACAGCAGGGGGTGCGGAGGCGGACAGCAGGGAGTGCGGGGGCGGACAGCAGGGGGTGCGGGAGGCGGACAGCAGGGGGTGCGGGAGGCGGACAGCGGGAGGCGGACAGCAGGGGGTGCAGGGGCAGACAGCAGGGGGTGCGGAGGCAGACAGCAGGGGGTGCGGGAGGCGGACAGCAGGGGGTGCGGGAGGCGGACAGCAGGGCCCGGGGCTCGCTCACCGGGGTCACAGACGCGGCAGGGCAGGCACTCGCGCAGGCCGTTGAGGTGGGCGGTGAAGGTGCCGGGCGTGCAGGGCGCACACACGGTGCCCGCGAACTCCCCGCACGCCTCCTTCACTCGGTAGCCTGCGGGAGGGCACACTCAGGGCGGGGCGCCCGCGCAGGTGTGACCCTCCCCGCACCCACCGCTGTTCCCGGGCCACAGCAAGGACGGGGCCTCAGGGACCCCTCTCCCGGCCTGAAACGGGCTGCCCACCCGGCCCCCGCCCCCTCCCGGAGCAGTGGGGGTGCCCTGTGCCCAGGGCTCCAGGCCTCCCAGGAAGGGGTGCTGGGCAGAGGGCTCCAGCCAGGGGAGGGGGATTCCCGCCCCGAGCACAGCCCGCCCCCCCGCGCCCCGGGGACCCCTGCAGAGCAGCACCCACCTGGCCTGCACTTGGGGCAGCACACGGCCCCCGTGGGGAACTCCTCCTCTTTGCACGAGGGCGTGGCCAGCACGCAGGGCGGGGCTCTCAGGAGGAGAAGACACAGGGCCTGAGGGAGACGGGGCCGGGCCTCAGTCTCCCCCTCCGGGAAATGGGCGCCAGCAGCCCGTGTCCTGGTCCTGCCCTGCCGGGAGCGGAATGGTGGGGCCCAGGACAGGGCGGTCTATAGAGGACCCTAAAACCATGGGGTGGAGCCCTGGCCGGTGTGGCTCAGTGGGTAGAGCGTGGGCCTGCGGACTGAAGGGTCCCGGGTTCGACTCTGGTCAAGGGCATGTGCCTTGGTTGCGGGCACATCCCCAGTAGGAGGTGTGCATGAGGCAGCTGGTCCATGTTTCTGGCTCTCTATCCCTCTCTCTTCCTCTCTGTAAAAAATCAATAAAATATATTTTTTAAGAGCATATGCTCAGGTTGCAGGCTTGATCCCCAGTAGAGGGCGCGCAGGAGGCAGCCGATCAACGATTCTCATCATGGATGTTCTATTCCCTCTCCCTCTCCTTCCATCTCTAAAATCAATATATATATCAATATATATATATATATAATTTTTTTTTTAAGGAGCCTGGTGTGGGGGCGCTCTGTGTGACCTCTGACCCCCTGGGCTCAGGACAGTGGGGCCCCCGCCCCTGGGGAAGCGTGCCCCTGGGGTGCCCTCTGGCCGGTGTGGGTGCTCTGACCCCCTGGGAGCCCAGGGCAGGCACAGCTCTGGGGGCCTCTGGCCTGACCGGCGTCAGAGCCAGGGGCTGGGGAGGGGGCGGGGGCCTGCGGCAGAGCTGCTCCTCAGTATGAGCTTGGTGCTCAGAGGCTTCCTGTCCCAGACGGGCTGCGGGGGTGGAGATTTCATCCCTGAGTGTGTGTGTGGGGGGGGGGGGGGGGGGGGGCGGGGAGTGGGCAGGGTTCGGTCTCTGTGGTGGGGTGTCTCCCCTGGCCGTCCCCCAGGCCCGTGGCCAGGGCCGTGCGCGGCGGGGCTGGCACTGCCCCCCCAGGCTGCTGGGCGCCCCCCCGGGGCCTCGCGGCCTCCGACTCACCAGGCTCAGGACGTCGGCGGAGGGCGTGGGGCTGCAGGGAGTTGGCCCCCAGCCAGGCAGACACTCCATGACCACCTCAGGGACCCTTCACTCCCGGACGGCCGTCCCTGGACTCCTGCCGGCAGGACAGACGGACGGGGGGAGAGACGGAGCCATTCTCGAGACCTCGGTGCTATGGCGGGCAGGTCCCAAATAGAAAGTGAAAGATCCTGTTTACAGCACTCTAGGCAGGCGGGGCAAACCCCACAGGCAGGGAGCGGGCTCAGGCCGGCTGGGCTCCCAGCGCCAGGAGAGGCCAGGCAGGCAGAGCTGTTCTCTGGCCCCGCTCCTGTCCGGGAGCCTCCCACCCCGAGTTCCTAGTAGAAGTGGGCGCCCCCCAAGCACAGCTCGCTCCCCCTGTCGCTCCGCACCCCATTCTCTCCACATGAGGGGCAGAGCCTCTGAGCTCAGTGACCTGGGCACCCACCCCTGCCAGAGGGCACCCAGGGGCCAGCGGGTCCCCCTGGAGCACCCTCAGGGGCTTCCCACCATGTTCCCTGCAGGGGGTGGGCCGGGGAGTGGGGCTCAGGGAGACGGCCGGGCCCGGGGCTCCCGGTGCAAACGGGGCTCAGAACCAAACCCTCCTCGTCCGTCGTCCTCGGGAGAGGCCCCCCCCCCCGCCTTCCCTGCACCCGCTGCCTCCAGGCCCGGGCCCCTGTGGGAGGCCTGGGCGGGAGACCCGTCCCCTCAGAGGCAGGCTCAGGCTTGGGGGCTCCAGAGGGGCAGCCACCCCCGACCGCGACGTTGAGGGGGTGGGGCAGAGGGCGTCCCCTGAGGTGGGGAGGCTGCAGGTGGGGGTTTGGGGTGGGTGCACTGGAGCGTCCGGAACTCACACCCCCCTAGACTGGGCCTGGGGCTCCTCACCCCCTTTCCAGGCCCCTGGTCCCCTCGGTCCCCCCTCCCCTCGGTCCCCCCTCCCCTCGGTCCCCCTTCCCCTCGGTCCCCCCTCCCCTCGGTCCCCCCTCTCCTCGGTCCCCCTTCCCCTCTGGCCGCCTCCCCTCGGTCCCTCCTCCCCTCGGTCCCCCCTCCCCTCGGTCCCCCTCCTCCTCGGTCCCCCCTCCCCTCGGTCCCCCCTCTCCTCGGTCCCCCCTCCCCTCGGTCCCCTCTCCCCTCGGTCCCCCCTCCCTTTGGTCCCTTCTCCCCTCGGTCCCCCCTCCCCTCGGTCCCCCCTCTCCTCGGTCCCCTCTCCCCTCGGTCCCCCCTCCCCTCGGTCCCCCCTCCCCTCGGTCCCCTCTCCCCTCGGTCCCCTCTCCCCTCGGTCCCCCCTCCCCTCGGTTCCCCCTCCCCTCTGACCCCCTCCCCTCAGTCCCCTCTCCCCTCGGTCCCCCCTCCCCTCGGTCCCCCCTCCTCCTCGGTCCCCCCTCCCCTCGGTTCCCTCCCCTCTGACCCCCTCCCCACTCCGTTTCCCAGATGCTAGCAGACCTTGCTCGCCAGGCTCTGAGAGGCCCGGCCGGCCCGGGAGGGGGCCCGGCTCCAGGGCCGGGTGAGGCGAGTGGAGGCCGGGAGTGAAGGGGGATGTGGTCAGCTGCCGTGATGGTCATGGGGCTCAGAGGACCCCGGGGTGATCACAAGCTGCTTCTTCCCCTCCCTCCTCCCCGACACAGTAAAATGACATTAAAAACAGCCCGGGAGCCAAAACGGGTGTGGCTCAGTGGACAGAGTGTCGGCCTGCGGACTGAGGGGTCCCGAGTTCGATTCCGGTCAAGGGCATGGACCTTAGCTGCGGGCACATCCCCGGTGGGGGGGGGTGCAGGAGGCAGCTTGTCGATGTTTCTAACTCTGTCCCTCTTCCTTCCTCTCTGTAAAAAATCAACAAACTATATTTAAAATAATAATACTAAATAAATAAATAAAAATAAAAGCACGCGGGCGCCTCACCTCCTCATGCACCTGCTCGGAGGAGGCGGCGCACGCCCTGGCCCCTCCCTCCACGTCCGTCCGCACGTGGCCCGGCCGTGGGCACGGCCAGGGGCGTGCTGGGCGCCTGGGCCCGAGGCGGGCGGGCGGGGCCGTGCGGGGTGGCGTGTGGGAACTGTGGGCCCAGACAGGACTGTGGTTTCAGGCGAGGCCTCCTGTGCAGAGGCAGCAACCGCCGGAAGAGGCCCGCCCGCCCGCCCTCAGCGACTCCCCCAGTTCAAGGCCTGCGCCCCCTCCAGGGCAAAGGCTGGGACCGCAAAGGGGGCGCTGCTCCCGCTGAAGGCACTGAGTCATGCCCCCCCATTCTCTCCAGAAAGCCATGGGGGGAGGGGGGAGGGGAGGGGGAGAGGGGGAAGGGAGGGAAGGGGAAGGGGACAGGGGGAGGGGACAGGGGGAGGGGAGGGGAGGGAAGGGGAAGAGGGGGAGGGGAGGGGAGGGGAGGGAGAGGGGAGGGGAAGGGGAGGGGAAGAGGGGGAGGGGAGGGAAGGGGAGGGAGAGGGGGAGGGGAAGGGGAGGGAGAGGGGGAGGGGAAGGGGAGGGAAGAGGGGGAGGGGAAAGGGAGGGGGAGGGGAGTGGAGGGGAGGGACAGGGGATGGGACAGGGAGAGGGGACAGGGGGAGGGGAGGGGAGGAAGGGGGAAGAGGGGAGGGGAGGGGTGAGGGGGAGGAGGGGGAGGGGAGGGGAGGGGAGGGACGGTGAGAGGGGAGGGAGAGGGGGAGGGGAAGGGGAGGGAGAGGGGGAGGGAGGGGGAGGGAGAGGGGGAGGGGAAGGGACGGGAGGGGAGGGGGAGGGAAGGGGTAGTGGGAGGGGGAGGGGAAGGGGAGAGAGAGGGAAGGGGAGGGGAGGGGAGGGGGAGGGGAGGGGAGGGGAAGGGTTGAAAAAAAGGAAGGAGCCGGAGGAGGAAGCTCTGGGAGGCGTGTCCGGGCCCAGATGGACCCGCGGCCCCGGGACTGTGGTGGGAGCCAGGTGGCCCTGACCGAGGGGGAGAGGAAGGGGGCGGGTGCCTTCCAGGAAAGCAGGCCGATGCAGAGATTCTGAGTCAGTCACGCGCAGTCACCCAGGAAGTCCCTCTAGGAATTCCGAGTGGGAAACCCACCCGGGGGTGCCCGGAGGCATTTTGGGAAGAGAGACTGGTGGAAACAACCTAAATGTCATCGATGGAGCCACACGGCCCGCCCGGCCAGGCACCCACACGGCCGGCCTGGGCCCCGGCCAGGCACCCACACGGCCGGCCTGGCAGCCTGGCCCCGGGGCCGGCGGAGCTGCCCGGAGTAGTGGGCGCACGGGCGGCCTCGGGGTCCAGGGGCCGGAGGTCAGGGCCGGGGGCCAGGCAGGGGCGCAGGCCGCCTCCAGCGAAGAGGGAGCTGCAGGCCGCGCCCCAGGAACCGGTTCTCTGAAACCAGGTCCGGGCGGCCGGCTTGTGGCTGAGCGTCCACCACTGAACCAGAAGCTTCCATTCCCGCTCGGGGCGCAGGCAGCCGACCCTGATCCTCTCTCATCGTGGATGTTTCTCTCCTTTCCTCTCTGGATTCAGTAAAAACACATCTTTAGCGCTAGCCAGTGTGGCTCAGTGGATACAGCGTCGGCCTGCGGACTGAAGGGTCCCGGGTTCGATTCCTGGTCAGAGGCACAGGCCTGGCTGTGGGCTCAGTCCCCAGCAGGGGGCGTGCAGGAGGCAGCCGACCAGTGATTCTCTCTCATCATTGATGTTTCTATTTCTCTCTCCCTCTCCCTTCCTGTCTGAAATCAACAAAAATCAGGAAACATAAGAAACAAGCCGTGTGTGTAAAGCATAGAACCCCAGCGCCGGCCGGAGTGTCCGGGCGGGGGGACAGGGCGGCCGGCAGAGACGCCGAGGCAGGCGCACCGGTGGACGGGCTGTCCCCAGGCAAAGGCCTGTCCGTCCGGACCCGCCCTGGACGCCCAGAAACCAGCACCGAGGAGCGAGACTCTCCGCGGAGGGGCTGCGGGGCGGGAGGAGGCGGCGCCGGAGAGCCGGCCGAGAAACAGCGAGCGCTCGGCGGTCTGAGGGGCGCCTTCTCTGCGAGCAGACGACAGGGTCCCACACAGAGCCGAGACCCGACGGGGCCACGTATGAAGACACACGCCAGGCTGGTGCACGGACACGCACGGGTCCGGACACGCGGGCACCTCTGCAGAGGCATCTGGGGAAAGCCCACGCGCACCCGCACCCCACGGCAAAGACGGCAGAAGCCACGCCGAGGCCTGTGGGAGGCCACCATGGCCTCCACGGCAGAGGCCCGCCACGGAGCCAGCAAGGCTGGTGACCCTTGAGGCCGGGCAGCGTGCACCTCGGAGCTTGATCACCACCCCGTGGACCCCACTCCCTCTCCGCCAGGTGCCGGGGGGGCCCCTCGGGACAGGCCGCCCCGAGTCCCGCTGGGCGGGCTCTTCGGGTGAGCGGCTCCGAGAGGAACCACGCGCTCCCCTCTCCCGGTGCCCGGAGGCAGGAGGCGCCCAGGGAGCCGGTGCTAGGAGTCGCTGACTGTGCGCCGCCCAGAGGGAGGTGTCCTTTTCCAAATCCCTGAGCAGCACACACAGGCAGTCCCGTAGCCACCCGTTGGGAGCCTCTGGGTCTGCGAGTGACGGTTAGACCGTTGTAACCTGGAATGCATCATGAGCTTGCTCATGGCATAAAGACAGGGAATTCATTTTTTTAAATATGCTTTATTGATTTTTTTTTTTTTTTTACAGAGAGGAAGGGAAAGGGATAGTGAGATGAGAAACATGGATCAGCTGCCTCCTGCACACCCCCTACTGTGTGTGTGCCTGTGTGTGTGTGAGAGTATGTATGTGTGCATGTGCATGTGTGTACGTGTGTGAGAGTGTGTGTGAGTATGTGTGAGAGTGTGTGTGTATGAGAGTGTGTATGTGCATGTGTGTGTGTGTGTGTGTGTGCGTGTGTGTGTGTGTGTGTGTAGGGGCTTCTTGTGTGGGTGGGGGTAGGGAGGAGGGGTGGGGAAAAAGGGAGAGGTGGGTGGGGGAGGAGAGGGCTGGGGAGGGGGGAGGGGTGGGGAAAGGGGGATGGCTGGGGAGGGGGAGGTGGGGGAGGGGGAGATGGGGTGGAGTGGGGGGAGAGGTGGGGAAAGGGAAGGGGTGAGGGTGGGGTGGGGGAGGGGTGCCAAAACCACCTCGGGCGGCCTCTTTTGCATCCTGTGGGTTTTACGCCAGCTCCAGCTCGCTTTACATTTATAAGAACAGACTAATCTAGAACTGAA